TTTTATAATTTTATTTATTGAATTACCGTGAGAGCAGTTGGGTCTAAGTCTCGGTCATACAATGAAACACCCGTACCTTCACCAGTGCCCATTCTCTACCACCAAAAACCCCAGTATAACCCCATCCCACACCCTCCTCCTACCTGTGGGGCAGATGATTTCCAATTACTCTCTCTCTACTTTGATCACATTCAATATTTCGACACCAGACCCACCATTATTATTTGCGATTTTACCTCAACACTCAGATCTGCTGAAAAGGCAACAGTAGACAATTTGTGTTCTAGCTAGTTATGAATAACATATGATGTCACATGGCTGAGGTAGGGCCATGTGATTTTGAAATTCCGAAATTTTAACACTTAAATCTGGAGGGATTTCTGCCAAAAACCACTGGGTTTCTAGATTTGCTCTTGAGTCTCTGGGATCATGGCTGTTGAACAGCTTGATCAGGAGCCAGAGACGCCGTTCATGGGCGATGACTTGGGGTCTCATTGGGACGGGGAGACCAGAACCGGCTCCACCCCCATTCCGTGAGGCCCAACAAGTTTTGTCACTGTGGGTGCAGACCTGACTGTCCAATGGCCTCTGGTGGACAATGGCCACTGAGCCGCCAAGGGGGAGCAGGTGGAGGGACAGCACATTTTCTCCCCTGGGGTGGCCCGGCGACAGTAAACCTACTGTGTGGTCCAGACGCATTTCTGTCAAAAGCCGCTGGGTTTCGAGATTTGTTTCTGAGTCTTTGGGGTCAAGGCCATTCAGCAGCTTAGTCAGGAGCCAGAGGGTCCATTCGTGGGCGATGACTTGGGTCTCACTGGCATGGAGAGGACAGGACCACTTCCACCCCCATCCCGTGAGGCCCAACAAGTTTCATCACTGCGAGCCCAAGCCTGACTGTACAATGGCCTCTGAGGATGACGGCCACCGAGCCACCAAGGGGGAGCAGGCGGAGGGACAACACCCTTTCCTCCCTGGGGTGGCCCGGAGACAGTGAAGTACTGTGGGTTCCGGATGCATTTCTGCCAAAAGTCACTGGGTTTCGAGATTTGTTTCTGAGTCTCTGGGATCATGGCCATTAAGCAATTCAATCAGGAACCAGAGAGGCCATGCCTCCAATTATACAGCTGAGCCGGAGGTGGTTTGTGGGTGTGTTTCCCACATATCTAACTTTTGGCCGTTTACTTTCTTGGTAAACTTTGTCCCAAGTTTTTGGGGTCTGGCCAAAGGCACAGCAGCAATTTGGGGGTATCTGGAAGTCTGAAGGCACCATCAGGCTGCTGATGCACGCATCTCACAGGTACCGATTGACCTGCTGGCGGCACCATACCCCCGAACTTCACTTCTTGATATGTGAAATTGTTAATAAATTGAAGTAGTTTGCAAATAATGAGCAATTTTTCTTTGAAACAAAAACATGATAGAGACCTGAGTGAAAGTACTTTAGGGATGGCATTTGCCTTGTGTGTAGTCAAATTCTCTCTACCCCAGCTAGTCCCCTAAACCTATCAGGAGTGATCCATGAGCTCAGTCCCAGGAGTAAGCCCCTGAGCACTACCAGATGTGGCCCCCAAAACTAAGATAAAAAATCCATATGATAATAAAGGTAATCACATTTGTTAATATAATGCATGTATATTCTATAGGCAAGGATAAATTCAAATAAGATATGTTGGCTCATAAAAATATTAGGTCTGAAGAGATCAACTAAAAAGGACATAATAGATTTTCAATCCATTTTAGTATAACAAATGTGTACAAATAAACAGGTGCATTGAATATAAATGGCATGGAAAAATGGTTGAAATCACAAATATGAAATCAGCACAAACAAAGACACAACAGTCAAAATTTTATCTTTAAATTTGTATCACTGGTATGATATTAAGTATCATACGGTATTATGATACGGTATTAAGTATCATATGGTATTATGATATTAAGTATCATACGGTATTAAGTATCGTGGCCGCGTGACATCCTATTATGACATCTTATTATCTCATTCCTACTTTGGACAAACTGGCAGGCTACCGAATGTAGCCTGCCCACACGGCAGAGTCTGGCAAACTCCCCGTGGCATACCCAATATGCCAAATACCAGTAACAATTATGGGTCTCATTCTCCTAAAGAGCCTTGAATATAATCTCAGGGCTAGGATGAAGGAGATGTTACTGGGGCCTGATCAAGGCAATCGACGAATAACAGGATGATTTGTGATTTTTGATTTGTGGTATGATATTAAATTATATTTAATTGCAGCAACTTTCTTATTAAGTCGAGGGTGAGGGTTTTTTATGTGAAATAATTTATCTCCAATTATGTTTTTACTATAACACCCAAATAATATGCATTTTAAATGAGTATATTAGTAGCTTGTAGTATATTGTTTCATGATACAGAGGCAATATAATTAATATTTTCTCTTCATTTTGGGGGGGCTGGGCACATCGCTGTGCTCAGGGTTTACTCCAGGCTCTGCTCACAGGAATCATTCTTGGTAGGCCTTGTTTGAAACTATACAGTGTGCTGGGGGTCAAACCTAGGTTGCCCTCGTGCAAATCAAATTCCTTAGCCACTGTACATATGGCTCCTTCTCCTAGAAAAATAGCATTTTATTAGGCAAAAGGCACATGAAAAAATGCTCCACATAGCTAATCATCAGGGAGATGAAAATCAAAACAACAATGAGATATCATCTCACACCATAGAGACTGGCACACATTCAAAAGAACAAAAGCAACCAGTGCTGGCATGGATGTGGGGAAAAGGGATGCTCTTTCACTGTTGGTATGAATGCTGACTGGTCCAGCCTTTTTGGAAAACAATAGAACATTCCTTCAAAATCTAGAAATTGAACTTTCATATGACCCCACAATACCACTTCTGGGAATATATCCTGAGGGTGCAAAAATTCACAGTAGAAATGACATCTGTCCCTATATGTTCATTGCAGCACTGTTCACAATAGCCAGAATATGGAAACAACCCGAGTGACCGAGAACAGACAACTGGTTAAAGAAACTTTGGTACATCTACACAATGGGATACTATGCAACTGTTAGGAGATATGAAGTCATGAAATTTGATTATAAGTGGATAGACATGGAGAGTATTATGCTAAGTGAAATGATTCAGAAAGAGAGGGACAGACATAGACGGACTGAACTCATTTGTGGAGTATAAAATAACATAATATGAGACTGACACCCAAGGACAATATACACAAGGACCAGGAATATTGCTTCATAGTTGGAAACCTGCCTCATGAGTGGGGAGAGGAGGGATGGTGGTGATGGGGTGAGAAGGCATCTGGAATAGAGAAGGGATCACTAAGAAAATGAAGGTTGGAGGGATCTGTTGCGATGGGAGATGTGTTGCTGAAAGTAGATACAGGACCAAACATGATAACCTCTCAGAGTCTATATTGCAAAACATGGTGCCCCAAAGTAGAGAGAGAGTATGGGGGAAATTGTCTACCTTGGAGGCAGTGGAAGGGTGGGAAAGGGGGTGTATACTGGGGAGATTGGTGGTGGGGAATGTGCACTGGTGGAGGGATGGGTGTTTGATCATTGTGTAATTGTAACTCAAACATGAAAGCTTGAAAATATATCTCACAGTGATTCGATAAAATTTTAAACAAAGAAAATAGCATTTTGCAACATATCTGCTAATAATTTTTAAATCCTTCCTTGGAAAATAGATTAAACCTGATCATTAATATCATCAACATATATTATTCTCTTCAGTAAAATTAAATACAAAGGGAAAAGCTAAAATTAAGTATTAAACATTCCAGACTGTGTGGCTGCTTTATAGGACACTTTCTACCCAATTTTCATAATTGCCACACCATATTTGATGGGGTTCAGACAGTAGACAACAAATCATAGAGATAAATATATAAATATATGCCTCTTGGATAGCCCGGCAAGCTACTAAGAGTATCCTGCCCGCACTGGCAGAGCCTGGCAGGTTCCCCATGGCATATTCTATATGCCAAAACCAGTAACGACAACAGGTCTCATTCCCCTGACCCTGAAAGAGCCTTTTCATTGGGAAAAGATGAGTAAGAAGAGGCTGCTAAAATCTCAGGGTTAGAAGTAATAGAGACATTACTGGCACCCACTCGAGTAAATCGATGAACAATGGGATTACAGTGACAGTGACAAGTATTAAACTTACAGTAATAACACTACATTACAAGACAATATAAAGCTTTGCTAAAAGAGTGATATTCCACAATTTCACTGCATTATCTGGCTGACAAAGTTGACCGTTCTTATATATTACAAATATTACAGATAATCTCCAAAATGTACTACAGATAGCACTTTGGGATTTGTAGTTTCTGTTTTAGGTTTGCCAGGCTGTGATCAAGGGGTTCCATGGCCACTCCAAGCCATGCTTTACCAATCTGGTAGGTATTTCTATGTGAAGGCCAGAGTATGAGCAGCTGGGAGAGCCCTGCCCGCTGTATTATCTTCTGGCTATGAATTGTCAGTTTTGATGTAACAACTTGTCAAATATATTCTCTTGATCCCCACATGATCAGAATTTTTAAGCCCTACTCCTATCATTCAGTAATTATTATCTATTTCTATTATTTGAGGAAAGTTTTCAGAATTAATTAATCATAATATGTTGATGGGCTGGAGTGAAAGCACAGCAGGTAGGGCGTTTGCCTTGCATGTGGCCGACCCGGGTTTGACTCCTCTGCCCCTCTTGGAGAGTCCGGCAAGCTACTGAGAGTATCCTGCCTGCACGGCAGAGCCTGGCAAGCTACCCAGGGCGAATTTGATATGCCAAAAACAGTCTCACAATGGAGACGTTATTGCTGTCTGCTTGAGCAAATCAACAAACAATGGGAGGACAGTGCTACAGTGCTATAATGTTGATATTAGAATAACCATGAACTAAATGTGTTGCATAATAATTAAAAAATGTACTAATACAAATTTTTATTTTTTGTCTAATTTTTCATTTTTGTGTACCTTTTCAGAATTCAGGAAGTAGCATGGCATGAAACATGGCTCAGTTCTATTACAAAAGAAGCATTAATGCCCCCTACAGAGACCGCATCCCTCTGAGAATAGTCCGAGCAGAATCAGAACTCTCGCCATCAGAAAAAGCCTACTTGAATGCTGTGGAGAAGGGTGACTATGCAAGTGTCAAGAAATCTCTCGAGGAAGCTGAAATTTATTTTAAAATAAATATAAATTGCATCGATCCTCTTGGGAGAACTGCGCTTCTCATTGCTATTGAAAATGAGAACTTGGAGCTTATTGAACTACTCTTAAGCTTTAACGTGTATGTTGGAGACGCTCTATTGCACGCGATCAGGAAAGAAGTCGTCGGTGCAGTGGAACTGCTGTTGAACCATAAGAAACCAAGTGGAGAAAAACAGGTATGCACAAAATTATGCTCTTGATTTCATTTTCATTGCAGAATGTTTCTAAATTTTGATATTCCCCAATTTTCCAGAAATAGAAGTATTGGAAGAAAAACTATTATGCAGAAAAGGTTAAATATCTACAGTAGATCTTATTCCCTGGTAGCTACATCTACCTACACTGGCAAATTGAACTATTTCCCTTTCCCTCCCCCCCTCCCTCCCTGTCTTCCTCTTTTGTTTTCGGATCAAACCTTTGGTGCTCAATATTTATTCCTGGCTCTGTGCACAGAGATCTACTCCTGGTGATACTCCAGGGACCTTATGTCATGTCAGAGATTGTAACAGGGTCTGCTGGATGCAAGGCAAGCAATTTAATCTCTGTGTTAGCTTTCCAGATCCAGAAGCATTTCTACAAAACTCTCAACATATAATGTTATCAATGACGCATCATCTCTATCTTTAAAAATTAAAGATTTTTACCAGAGTTCTTGCTGTTATTAGAAGAGCTTTGTGATGGAATATCTCATGAAAAATTCCCTTATCTTCTTTGAAATGTGTGGCCCATTCTTATGTCATGCCATTATTCATCTCTTTCACTTTTCTGAGTGAAAACTTCCATAAAACAACAATTAATCCACAGTTGCAACACTTCTCTGTTGTTTTATGGGCATTTTGTTATTTGTGTTGTTAACTGGTTATTTCTATGTTACCTTACTAGTAAAACCTTTTTTTGATTGAATTTTTTCAAATTTCATTTCACCTTTCAAAATTGTACAACATTGACAGGTGTGAACAAACAATAGTAATATCTAAACCTAAATATCTAAAATAGTAATATCACATCATGTTGTAGCATTGTTTTATCTCTGTATTGTGGTAAATGCTTATATAGCAATGAGTAGAATCTCTTTTTTATCCCTATAAGTTCATTAATACTTACTCTGTCAACATGCTATTTTTGAAATTCCCTCCAAAATAAACCTGTAATATATCTGTATTTTCATTAGGTACCATGATCTAATATGGAGTACCTTCTTTCTTTATGTATGTGTATGCAATTAAGGCAGATGTGGGACTGTGGCCTGCATCACTTAGGTTTCAAAAAGTCTACATCACAAAATTACTATTAAGAGTGTTTCACATTATTAAATGTCCTTCTTAATTTTGTGATTCTAGATATCATTGGTCATGAATTTCCAAGTTTTTTAGTTGATGACATTTGGATTGGCCAAAGCAATTTGATGTCTGGAGAAGATATCTGCTATTATGAGAATGTTTGTTGGAAAACGTTCAACTTCTGAGCTAAATTCTAGTCTCACAAGTAGGTCCTGGCTCCTTAGAGGCACTTGATCTGAACCCAGGTTATTAATAAAAGGCAGTAAAGGTTTGCAATCTGCCAGGAGTCTGACATATCCCAGACTATGTGTCTCTGGAAGATTTCTCTTGTATCAGTCTGCTGAACAAACATTCCTTCTCTATTTGTACATTCTAGAATTCCTCCTCAGTGAAGGTACTCAGAATAAACAAAAATTGTTTCTATTTTCTTGAACTGTATATTTTTTAACTAAGATATTTTATTATCTCTTTATAAAATATATCTTGTGGTAATCCCTTATATCAACAAAATTTTTAGTCAACCTACCTCAGAGTCTCTGGTGTCTTGTTTAATAAAAGTGAAGCTTTTTTATACAAGGTACCAAAAGATGTCCTGAGGCTAAAGGGTGCAGTAAAAGCCCATTAGAACTAAACTGCTTACTGTTGATTTTATTCAATAACACATTTAGTTAGTCATAACCAGCATCTTTTGGAATAGCAATGTGTTGTGGGTAGAAAATATGTTCTTGACAACAGTTATTTTATCTCATAATTTGTAATCTTTTTGATAATTCTCATTATCATTAAAAGTCTTTTGGTTTATTATAATTCTCCTAAACTCCTGTTTCATTGTTATCACTTCAAGACTTTGTTGAAATCATTGAAGCTGAGGTTAAAAACTTATAACTCATAATATTCATGTGAATAAAGTAAACATAACATCTAAAGTGAGTCAAGGAAGTGATATGGTATAGAAATCATATCAATCTGATATTGGAAGACCTACTAAAAATTAGAATTGACATATATCTGGTAATAAGGACCTTGGATAAAATAAAATAATCTGGATTACAATAACTTTAGCATTGACTTCTCTTCTTGTCCTTAAATATTATTTGAATATTTATGTTGTTAGTATGTAAATAATTCTCCAATATAGCACCAGTTGTAAACATTTTGGTTTGGCTAGATAGTAAATGGACATGAGAAACAGTTCCTTTAAGATTAAATGCAGACCTTCATAACCTGTGTTTGAAGTGTTTTAATTTTTCTCATAAAAGTTTCTCATATTTCACTTTTATCATAAAAGTGAAGAATGAGTATCTCTTCATATAGAAGTTACATTGAAGCCTATTAAGCAGAAAGTAGTTCTATTAAGCAGAAAGATGGAATATTATGTCCTTTTTCTAAGATTTATTCTTTCCTTGAATCGGAAACTATTGTTCTCTGATTATCTTATTCAATTTATTATCTTATTCAACTTATTACAAAAAATCTTATTAGTTTTATTTCTCTATAGGCAAGAAAAAGTGATTTCTAAGTTCCCTTTTGCATCAATTACCTGGATAGTTGACTTTTAATTATTTCTAGCAGACCTTTCTTTTTGATGTCTTATAAAACTAGATTACATTTTCATTATAACTGTGTCAGTAAATGTTTATCAGATACAATTTGCTGTGACATTCTTCACTTAACGCTTCATGATGCTTCTCAATCTTTAACATCATTAGAATCATTGTGAAAGTTTATTAATACATACATTACTAGCTTCTACTCCCAGAGTCTTTGATATAGCAGTCTAAAATGGGGACCTGGAACTTATATTTCTAAAAAGTATCAAACAATGCTAACACTGCTGGTTTAGAGACGAAACTTTAAAACACTAACTTAACGGTCTGGAGGGATAGTACAGCGGGTAGGGCATTTGCCTTGCATGCAGCTGACCAGATTTTGATTCCCATCATCCCATATGGTCCCCCTGAGCACTGCCAGGAGTAATTACTGAGTGCAAAGCCAGAAGTAATCCCTGTGCATTGCTCAGTGTGTCCCAAAAAAGAAAAAAAATTAAAATAAAAAGTAAAACACTAAAAGAAGTTCAAAGTTATGGAATAGCTATAGCTGTATATTTTGTATTAGTTGTGTGTAAAATAATAACCTGGATTTAGGACATTTATATTAATTCTCTTAACTATTTAATATTAAACATTAACTACTCTGTCACTGTCACTGTCCTCCCGTTGTTCATAGATTTGCTCAAGCAGGCCCAGTAACATCTCCATTTTGAGACTTCTTGTTTCTGTATTTGGCTTATCGAATACATCACGGGTAGCTTGCCAGGCTTTGCTGTGTGGGCAAGATACTCTTGGTAGCTTGCTGGGCTCTCCAGGAGGGGAAGAGGAATCGAACCTGGCTCGGCCGGGCTGGCTGCACACAAGGCAAATGCCCTACCGCTGTGCTATTGCTCCAGTGTTTGCCTTGCAAGCGACCAACATGGCCAACCAGAGTTCGATTCCTCCAAGAGTATCTCTCCTGCACAGCAAAGCCTGGCAAGCTACCCATGATGTGTTCGATATGTCAAATACAGTAACAATTGTCACAGTGGAGATGTTACTGGGCCTGCTTGAGCAAATCAATGAACAACAGGAGGACAGTGACAGTGAAACATTAACTAGTATCTAAGTAATATTAAATATTAATATTTAAGTAATCATAAACGAAGTAGTATTTAATATATTAATTTCCCAGTTGATGAAAGTATTTATGATATTTTTATTTATATAAGGTGATAAATTATGAAAGCATGTTATGTAAAATATATTTAATATTAATTTTCATTGGGAACATACCTTATAACATATATAAAGTATGCATCACTGAAAATGAACTTGTATTTGTACTACATTATATTCACACTAATAATTCAATTCACTTGATCCCTTTTATCTGATTTACCCACACCCCCTTCCCATTACTGTCTGGTAACCACTGATTGTTATTATAGCCTACATGTTTATTTTTAAACATTTATTGTTGAGATCTAAAAAATCATATTTTATAACTTTGAGAGATCTTGGGAGTATTGAACCCAATAAATTTGTTTTACAAAGAAGTGGAAAGAAAGAAGAAAACTATGGTTTGTGATTTTATCTGAATGAAAGGATTTATAGCAGGCAGCTAACTGAAATAGTCTGAGTGATAATAATCATAATAACAACAGCAATGATAACACTAGAAAACATGGAGTCTGTCATTGTGCTTATAGTTGTGATAAGAAATTCATTTGTGTCATCTCATTTAGTTTTCACTTTATCCTATGAAAGTAATTCTATTGTTCTCTCAGTTTTGATGGGGAAGTAAAGGCATAAAAAGCTTAAGTAACCTGTTTCAGGTAAAAAAATATGTATCATGATGGAAATCAATAGTCACAAAAGAGGGGCTGGAGCAATAGCACAGAGGGTAGAGCGTTTGCCTTGCACGCGGCCAACCCAGGTTCGATTTCCAGCATCCCATATGGTCCCCTGAGCCCTGCCAGGAGTGATTCCTGAGTGCATGAACCAGGAGTAACCCCTGTGCATCGCTTAGTGTGACCCAAGAAGCAAAGAAAAAAAAATAATCACAGAAGATAAGCATTATACTGCTCTGGCACCAGACTCTCAGCCAATTTAGATAAAGTAATTTAAATCATCGGTTCATTATTCTGCTTAAAATTGCATTAGACAAAAATAAAGGAGTCATATCATCTACATATTTAGGCTGTCTCAGTCTGGATTTCATAGCCATTTATAATTTGGTTGTTTAGTAAATATTAAGGGACAAGGTAGAGTGCTGGGAAAGTAATGTTATTGATAGAAATGCTGACTTAGTGTTGTCCAACATTCACTAACAAGTATAATTCTAAGTCTTGAATCTTGGTCTAT